TCACTTTCACAAGTGCTCAGAGTTTGCTTGAGAGACTACATGATTCAGTATTATCACAGGTTGGATGAAGAAGCAAATATGAGAATCCACTTGTATTTACCAACTATAAAAATTTTGCAAAGATGTAAAACAAAATACTCACTAAATTTTCCTCAGTGAATTAAATGTTTAAAAGTTTTTTTTTTAAGATTGATTTATGCATATGAGAGTTGGGTACTGGCCAGCGATGCGGGGTGATATGGTGGGGGCGGGGGTGAGAGGATTCACCAGAGACACAGTGGGGAGCAGAACAGGCAGATTGACTGAAATACACTGCTGAGGGGAGCAGCGGGGAGACTGGAGAGGTCTGCTGTGCCACCTGGGTTGCTCCCTGGCCGAGGGGGGATGGAACTTGTGCTGCAAAGGCTGTGGATTGCTTCATAGTGCGGTGCTTATTAATCCCTTGTGCCACCAAGGGAAGCCCTGTTTTAAAGTATTCTTAATTTTAATTTTTTTAAATTAGATTTATTTATTTATACAAGCACTGGGTACAGTCAGAAGCGCGGGAGGGTGAGAGAATTCACCAGAGCCAGAGCGGGGAGCAGAGCAGGCAGATGGACCGAAATACACTGCTGAGGGGAGCAGCGGGCCGCAGGAGAGGCCTGCGCGCCATGTGGGACCCTCCCCTGGAGGCCAGGGAGCAGCCGCTGCGCCACTGGGGAGGCCCTTAATTTTAATTTCAAATGGGATACATGGATTTATATATGTAGAATCTTACTGCAATCTCCTTTGACCAAAAAAGTTTGAGAATAGTTCAGTTACAGTTTTATTCTAGCCATTGACCACTTGTGGCTATTGGATATTTCAAATGTGTCACAGAAACTGAATTTTAAATTTTATTTGATTTTCATTAACTTACAAAGGGAAGCAGTGGAAAATTAGTGATTAGATTACATGTTGAACTGACAATATTTTGGATATACTGAATTAAATGCAAGGTATAACTTTTTAAAAAGTTCATTGAAATGACATTGGTTTATAACATGATACAGGTTTCAGGTGCCCAGCCCTCTCAGTCAGCATCTGTGTATGCCGTCTCATGATCCCCACCAAAGGTCTGGCTTCCACCAGCGTCACTCCGTCGGTCTCCTTTACCTGACTTGCATCCCCGCCCCTGCCCTCCCAACTCATTTCATCCTCTGCTTTTTTTTTTTTTAATGTGGTTATTACTGGAAATTGAAAAATTTTGTGTAATTGACATCTTTTTATGGAATAGCTATGCTTTTGAGAATAATTTTAGTTCCCCTTTCATACTTTATAACTCGACAATACTGGTTAGAAAGTCAAGCAGAAAAGATAAAGGTGGAGTGTCCCAGACCTTGATGATTTCCTCCCTTTTCTTTGCATCCCTTTGTATTCTTCATTTACCTGTCAGTGTTGCAGCTGTGGGCATTGGAGGGAAAGTGGTGGTAAGTCAGGCGAGGTAGCTGAGCGATGACCTTGTAATATCAGTTATGGCCTTGCCCCTTCCGCTGTCACTTCATGAAGGGTGTTTTCTAATTTTCCCCCCATTGTGCTCAGATTAAATTGTTAATTTTTATTTTTGATTTAAAGAACATTATGATGAACTAGATCCACTGCCAGCATTCCCTTCTGCAGAGCATAGAGATATATCTCTTGTCAGACTTAATGACCAAGTTTGGTATTTTGTAACAGCTGTTGAGTGAGTCTGGAATAGTCTACCACACAAACACCAGTTGATTAGAAAGCTTGAAATGGAACAACAAGACTCTGACGAGTAGTGAAGGAGGGCATAAGCAGATTAAATTTTTGACATTGTGATTAAAACTGCTTTCACATTTATTTGATAAATTTGTTTCTTCAAGGAGGACTGACCATCAACACCCATCTGTCAAATTAGCTTCATTGTTTGTTTTTACAATGAATTGCTTATTTTTTCTCCCATAAATTTATCAGTAAGAGAAAAGAGAAAAGAATGTTTGCCCTTGCTCACAGTCTGCTTGCTTTGATTATATAGCATGGTTAGATTCAGACTTAATCCTAGTTGTGCTGAATGTCAATTTAAGCTGTCTTTGAATTATTGATCTGAATAACATATTATTGAAAGATTTAAAAAGTTACAGAAACTTGAATAAGAGAACGATTTCTTAATCTCCTGTTATCAAATATCACTTGTTGACCAATGTCAGCAAATGGAAAAAGTGAAAAGAGCTCACTATCTTGGATACTGTCTTGGCTATGTTATTGTAAATTGATAAGTATGAACTCTTTAGATGTTCATGTGTTTGAATGTGCTAGGGTTATTATAGTTAGTGAATAAAAGTGACAAACAACAAAAAAAATCAGTGTTTATAACATCCTATTAGTTTTTGCAGAATAAATTATTTTGTATCTTGAGTTTTGAACTGTTTTGCTCTTTGAAATACTAGTGAAGATTTGATAAGGTAAGAGATCTGTTCACGTTAGGAAGGACCAGAGGCACCGCACACACAGTGTCACCCATGATAGATGTTCAGTAGCCATTTGTAGATCATACAGAGAGTCTTAGACTTCTGGGTAATAGTCTCAACCTAAAATTAAAATGGGAATAAGTAGCTTTTTTTTTTTTTTTACTATGTTTTGTAGGTATTTTACTTTGTTGTTGCTTTTTAAAGATTTATTTTACTTATCCATACTATAACTGAAGTGTAGGCCAGAAGTGCAAGGGTGAGAGGATTCACCAGAGACATCGTGGGGAGCAGATCAGGTGGATCTACTGAAATACACTGCTGAGGGGAGCAGTGGGTGAGAGAGGAGAGGTCTGCTGCGCCCTGTGGGTCACCTCCCTGGCCGGGTGTCGAACTTGTGCTGTAGTGGCTGGTGATAGCTTGATAGTGCTGAGACTTTACCTGTGCCACCAGGGAGGCCCAAGTATTTTACTTTGTGCATGTAAAATATTTCTGGGAAATATGTTGAATTTAGGGAAGGTGGGAGGTTGAGGGCAGGAAAAAAAAAACCCAAGAAACTAGACTTTTAAGAAATAATTTCCACTGACACAACTAACATAAAATCATGGTTATGAAAATGTACCTCAAACTGGTAAACATTCAGGGCAATATATCACATAACTGTTGGCAATACCATTATCAAATACTGGAAGGCATTAGATGGAAACCGTGACTTTGATTCAGTGGAGTTTTTAGGGTATGTCTTAATACAATCACAGAAGGATTTAGTTTATCCGGGATGGTTTATTAATAGCTCTCAAAACAACAGCTAAATTGCAACACAAGCCAGACTTTAAAGAGAATGAAATTCCTGGAAGCTAATGTAAAAACCTGAGAAATTGCTTTCCAGGTTCTTTAGTGTATGTGAGTATTATAGGGAGATACTTTAAAAAAAAAAAAATACTTGAGGATGATGTAATATATTTTATTTTTACTAAGTTTCTTAAAGTTGAGTTAAACGGACTGATTGAATCCTTTGCTGCAGTAAAGCTGCAGATAAAGAGTAAGCAGGGTCACCTAAAGATAGATTTACTTAGAGGTTTGGCTGCCTCTCTGGAACTTTGAGCAGTTAGCTTTGAGCAGATTGCCATAAATGGAAAGAGCAACCGGAGAGACCCAGTACCTTGCTTGAGAGTGTGGATGATGTGCAACAGGTGGTAAAACAGTCACTGGATTTTTTATAAACGCTCTCCAAATGACTGGTGTTCAAGGTTGACGCATTAGCATTTGGTGACTTTTGGGACTAGGGAATTTTTGTTTTTCAATTAAAAGTTTCTCGGGCACTTTTATATGTTTAGTGTGTAGAACTTGTGAATTTGTAATGTGGTTTTAGGAAATTTGTAAGACTATTTCTTCCTAGAGAGGACATCTTGAGGAAAATGTATCAAATTAGAAGGTGTTCTATATTCTTGTTTCCGGACCTCTTAATAAGTGAAATCTTCGGGACTTTTAAGTCAGGATGTGAAATTAATATATTGCTAAGATAAAAAGTTTGTGCTCGAATCACCAATTTTCTTGTAAGGTCAGTGGGTTGTCCTTAGCTTCAGTACATAAAAGAGGTGTTTACATGCCTACTAAAAGACAGCCCTCTTTACCTCCGGCAGTCTTTAGGGAATGATAAATGATCCCCATTTATTGGATTGTTCTCGATATGCCAGACACAGTACATACTTTCTTTATGGAAATTACTTCATACTGTATGAGGTAATTAATACTCCTGTTTTGTGGGAGAGGAAATTGAGTCTTACACGAAATTATGTTGCAGGCTTAGGATAATAGAAACTGTAAGTGGCAGCGATTAGAACCCAATATTGATAGCCCAAACTGCTGATGTACTGTTTCACAAATAATTTAATCAGCAAACCATAAAGTAATTAGCTAGAAGAGAAGTTTAGAAAAGGCCTCATGGGGGGAACCCCCATAGAAACACTTCTGAAATTGTCTTAGGTGAAGCCCAGTGATGTCCAGAAAGGTCCTGAAGGAGAGAGCAAGTTGGTATTTATTGTGACGAGTGTTCCCAAGTGCTCCCATGCTAAAGCTAATGAACTCACCGAAAGGGTCTGCAAGAACTGAATTCATGACGATAACTTAGAAATGTGTGTTTCTGCTGCATTCTCTTAGGCTGTGCATTGATTTTAGGGGCACTGTATCAAAGTACATAATTGATCACATAGATGCTAGTCTACAACCATCCTTGCCCTCCCAGCTCTTATCCAGTTACTTTTGGCCTAAACTTGATACAGGGTTCAGATTTCAAGGGTCTTTGTTTTCCTTTGGATAAGATTCAGAAATTTCTCAGTAATTTCCAGTCAAGTTCAATAGTTGCTTTATAATCAACACTCATTATGAAGTATTGATAATAGATTGCTTTGGTTTTTAAATTATTTCTGTAAATTTATGCAGACAAATAGATCAGTGATTTATTTGGAGTGATTAATATTTATTTTTCTTGTATGTTATTTGGTACATTTTTAATTGAGTAGAGCTTGTCGTCCCCCCCCCACCCCCCCCCAGTGGAAGCATCAGTTCATGGCAGTAATGCTCACTGTACAGATAAGACGATTGAGGCCGCCGAAGCCCTGCTTCATATGGAGTCTCCAACCTGCCTGAGGGATTCGAGAAGTCCTGGTATGTGAACTGTTCTTTCTCATATGAAACACTGTCGCTTCACTTCATATATCTAGAATGAATTTTATTCTTATTGGATTATTGTTGTGGTCAAGGCCTGTTACACATGAATTCCAGGGATAGCAATTATTTGATCTATATTTGCAAAGTTCCCATACTTTAAATACTTACCACAGTAGATGATGCAGAAGATACCTGCTATGGGTGGAATGTCTGTTTCCTTTAGTTTCCTGGGTAAATTAAACCTTTGTAGTCCTTAAGGATAAATGGGGGACAGTGGATTCTTGGGGCCACTTTCACTCCTTTATTCAGTGGTTCATAGGCAGAAACTCTGTGGAAGTGTCTGTCATGGAGAGAGGAGCCAGTGCCCACCATTTCCTCACACTTTCAAACAGCGAGTTTTCCTTCCATTGTCCCCCTTTTCTTTTAAGTCTGCCACTGAGAGAGTCAGTTTGTCCTAATTTTGACTTGTCCTACTTTCAGGTGACTGTCCAAATGGTAATTTGACTTAATACAGTAAAATTGACCCTCCTCAAAGGGTTTACAATAAATGCTAAGAGCAGCCATCCTTTTTAATTAGACCAGCAATCCCATGTATTATGCACAGATGTGAGAAGGAAATTAGGTCATATTGGCCCAATGTATTAGCCCATGATAGTAACTAATGACTATCCCTTAATAATATCCTTGTCGTGCATACTGGCAGGAAGGTGGAACAACGTTTGTTTATGTTATTGGATACCAAATAACACTCTTTAGTGCTATTTTAATGAGCCAAAATATCGGGTCTATTCTATTAAATAAAGTTATAAATTTTGAAAAATATATTCACTGGACCGTAATGACCAGGTTTTGTTTTACTTTTCATTGCATATTTCTTGTTTAACATTTTCTATGTTGTGTGTTTATTACCAGTTGAAGAATAATGATGGGTATGTGGAAGGGCAGTAATTCCTAATGAAGTCACTTTTAATATCACACTCAAATGTAAATTGTCAAAATAATTCAGTCTTCTGTAATGAACTTGGACGTATCTGAAAATGAGGAATCAGGGGTGACCACCCATGATCACTGTCTTACCCAAAGGACTAACATTTCCTTCAAGTCCGTTTTCTTTGCATTTATTTATTTATTGTAGCGCATATTGCATATTCAGCAAATTCACTTCAAGCTCTTCTCTTGCTTTGATGAATTCCTAATGAACCTCATGTCTACTAAATACTGAACTGTCCTTAATTAAGAAGCATTTGTAGGGGTGGGAAGTTTTAATTTCTCAACTTTTTTTTATAGTGGAAGTATTTGTCCCTCCTTGTGTATCAACTCCAGAATTTATCCATGCTGCTATGAGGCCAGATGTCATTACGGAAACTGTAGTGGAGGTGTCAACTGAAGAATCTGAACCAATGGATACCTCTCCTATTCCTACGTCACCCGATAGCCATGAACCAATGAAAAAGAAAAAAGGTAGAGTGTATTTATATGTTTCTGGAAAAGCTGCTTCTGCAATATTTTTTGCTGTCTTTTTTCCCTTCAAGGACATGGGAAATATATGCTTGGTGTTGTCTTAACTAGATATTCTCACAGAATCAGCAAATTGAGACTTCAATTTTGTATTTTAACAAGCTCATACTTGTTGCAGGGAGCTAGTATTTGGGCCCTAAAAGAAGTTGCCTGAAAATGGTAACAGGTGTTAGACATGCAGAGGGCAGTCAGTCACTGCCTATTTGTCTACTTTCTGGTCCTTTTAGCTACTTAAAAAGTTAACTATAAAAAATCCATTCTCTTTTTCATAATCTTAGCTTTCTCACTTCTGTGTGGGCATTACATCCAGTGTTACTCAGTTTCCTGGACCTGCTGTGCTGGAACACTGAGGTTCCCCGTAGAGACTTGTGTGTGGAATTGACTCACCAGTGGGTGAAGGGCCTTCCCACTTAGTCTCTGTTGCTGAAACCTCTGCTCATTTGATCCCGCTGGGTGAGACACGAGGCTCTAGCATGTTTTCAATAGCTGGAGGAGCTGGGTAGCAAGTGGGTCCTTTTCCTATTTGAATCAAAGACAAAACCTTCAGGAGATGTGTGCTCACCTAATCCCGCTGTTCTCACATTTCAGAGTTGGGGGAGGAAAAAGAAAAAAATAAGGGGGAAATTGTGTATTTGTGGCTAAGGACTATTACACGGTTAGGTTTAAGAGCTGAGCCTTTGTATTTCCAGAGCTTTTAATAGATTTGTAAATGTGCATTCTGCATTTCCTAGAGAAGATATACCATGCTGTGCTCTAAAAGTTAATTTGACTACAGAACCCTTCTTCCACTGAGGAGCAACCTGTTTCTTAGGGAATATTGATTTGGAAATGCTGCTTTATAAGAAAAGAAAAGAAAATCCTTTGGGGCTAACCTTCCCATTAAGGGAGTTGGGCTTGTGTGCTTAAATTTAGGAGATGGCTAACATCAGTTTTATTACTGATGTTTATAGCATTTCTATAAATGTTCTTAAATTGAGAAATTAAGCTGTATCCTAACAAGGAGGTCAGTGAACTTTCCATTTTAATTATCATCAAGGCATACTTTTTATTGACTATAGAATTACCATAATAAAATTCTAGGGCACAAGAGCTATGCATTTGCAAATGTAAATTAAGACACTTTATAACTTTTTTACCTCTAGATAATCCTTGTTAATAAAAAATAGAGTGCCATGGGCCTCCCCTGGTGGCACAGCGGTTGAGCGCTGGGCTGTGAGGCTGCCCGCAGCCTCTGCAACGCCAGTTCGTTCCCCGGCCGCCGGCAAGGGTCCTACCAAAAAAGAAAAAAGAAATAGAGTGCCATGTCTGTTAGTAATAATATATAATCTGAAAATAGAACATACTGGAAATTCCCAGCCTCCTTCTGGAGTTTCCCTTACCTGCCAGCATTCATCCACCAGTGTGCAGGATTGAATACAGTTCATTCCAGACTTTGTTGTCTTTAGTGTAAAGAAGTCTAGTCCTCACTGTCCTGGCTATCCTGATGCTAGTCGGTCTGAGAATATATGCCTTATGGCAGAAATGCGAAACAAAGGGCATATTTATTAGACATGAAATAATTACTGAGAAGATTATTGGCCTTACAAGGTACTCACACATTGAGGTGGAATGAAAATTTTATGCTTAAATTCTGATTGATTGGCTCAGTCAGAGCAGTAGAGTGTTTAAAGTAATATTTTTTACTTTTCCTCATTTGAGCTCAAAGGGCTTTGCAGATTATCAGATCCTCTTCATTAAGTAGGTGACATTTCCCCTAACAATTCTGTAGAACAACAAGTAAAAAGTTGTACTAGAAATTGTTTCCATTGACCCATTATTGGAAAAGGTTTACAGTTGGAGACTGACCATAGAAGTAGATTTTGTAGCACCCGACTTGCATATGCACAGACATTACTACCAAGTAACTGCTATAATGTGAAATTGCGTAAGTGCTTTTAATGCTCTTTTTTTTTTTTTTAAAAAAAAGATTTATTTATGTATACAAGATCTGGGGTGTTGTAGGCCAGAGGTGCAGGGGGATCAGAGCGTTTACCAGAGTGGGGAGCAGAAGAGGCAGATCTACTGCAATACACTGCTGAGGGGAGCAGCGGGCGAACAGGAGACATCTGCTGCGCCATGTGGGTCAGCCTCCCTGGCTGGGGATCGAACTTATGTTGCAGTGGCTTGGGGATAGCTTGATAGTGCTGAGACTTTAACCTGTGCTCTCTTTAAAAAGAATTTATTGTATACGTTGAGCATATTACACTGCAAACAAGCATCCAGTTTCATGAGTAGTGTGTTAGCCAAGAGTCCTGCTAATCGTGCTTCTGTTGTTACCTTTCCTGCATTCAGTGTATGGTTTCAATATCTTATTTTTTCAGTTGGCCGTAAACCAAAGACCCAGCAATCACCAATTTCCAACGGGTCTCCTGAATTAGGTATAAAGAAGAAACCCAGAGAAGGAAAAGGTAATTGGGGAGAGGGCTATTTTGGAGGTGAGATGACTTTCTCACTCAGGTGGCTGAAACATACTTGCCTTTCTAAAGGAATTCTTTCTAGTACATGTATATGTGGGAGTCCTGTCTTTGGTATATAGTTAATCAGGGGCTCGAGCAGCACTACCTGGGGAGCTTTTTCTAATTCTCCATGCCCAACTCTTATCTTATTGGCTGTGCTATGGGCAGGCATTTTTCTTTGGAAAAGAGCCCAAGAGGAGCAACCTGTGCACGTTTAGAAGCACCATCATGGGGCAGGGGAGTAATCGCTCATTCTCACTGGGCCCTTAGAATTGAAAAAGGTTTACAAGTAAGACTTATTTCTGATACATAATTTCTTTCCTTTTTTTTTTTTTTTTTAAAAGATTGATTTATTTATGCATACAAGAGCTGGGGTACAGGCCAGAGATGCTGGGGGTGAGAGGATTCACCAGAGACACAGTGGGGAACAGAACAGGCAGACTGACTGAAACGCACTGCTGAAGGGAGCAGCGGGCAAGTCAGGAGAAGTCTGCTGGGCCGAGTGGGTTGCTCCCTGGCTGGCGGGGGATCGAACTCGTGTTGCAGAGGCTGCGGACTGCTTCATAGTACTGTGCTTAACCCCTTGCACCACCAGGGAGGCCCCTGATACATAATTTCTTAACTAATAGAAGCTATGCAAGAATTTAAGGCAAGTCAGTCAACATTTTTCAGTCATCTTGGTTACACCATGGTTTGGTTTGGAAATGTGTCTATATTTTCATGTATCCCCATTGAAAACAAAAATAGCAACAAGCCCTTGTGCACGCAGTCTGCCCTCACTGCCCCCCAGGCTCTTTATTTGTTGGATAAGTTGATTCCAACCTTTTTTTTTTAAATAGTGGTTTTAGAGAGTTCTGATAATCTGACAGCTAGACATTTATCACTTCCGTGAATGAATATTCAGACCAATATTTAATACTTGAATATACTTTGGATAAATACATTCAGATTTATTCTGTCCTCATTAGGAAGTCTGACTTATAATAATTAAGTCCTTAATAAAAAAGTTCTAGTAAGCCTGCCAAGGAATTTGTTGTTTAGACCTACAATATCCAGTTACATTCAGCTCTTTATTTATTCAGGAGTTTATAAATCAATTTTGTCAGATTTGTCTGTCTGTGGTCACTTTACATTTATAACATCTTAGGTTTTATCATTTAATTTTATTTTAAACTTACATAATAGTAAATACTAGGAAATGAAACTGTAAACATACAGTTATTATTTTAAAAATAATCATCATCACTGGTGTCTCTGGGTTTCTGGAACTCAAAAAACCTTTTGCTTAGCACTGGAGAAAAATTTGCAGCAAATTGTTTACCAATCAAAATCACTTTGATTAAAATTTCAGTCTTGTATTAAATTTGAGGCAATATGTTATATAATGTGAGGATTAAAGTTACTGGTCCCACCTGGATTAAAAATCCACCCAGTAGTTCTGCTTCTGCAAAATTAATGCCGATAGTCTCCTAAGCTTAGTGAATAGTGTTTGATGAGGGCTGCCCAATCTGGTTTCTGTTTCCTTAAAAAACCAGAAATAGAATTGTAGGTTCTAACTTGGGGAAAGGGGCTGGGGTGGAGTGAGCATTTAAGGGTAACTTGAGGAATGTCAATGAATCTAATTAGTTCTACAAACACGGAGGCATTCGGTTCCCTACTGTGTACAAGACATTGTATTGTACAGAAAACTTCCAAAGTGAATTCTCTGTCACTGTTATATGTTTACTCATCAGCCCTGAGGATCTCCTGGTCATAAACAAAATAAAAATCCTCCACTGCATATCTAAGTTGGTTTGAAATAGCAAGTGATTTTAGGTACTGCTGATGTAATAGGGCTGCAGACATGGAAATGTAACATTGTGAGGTTGAAGGGTAATCTTTTTTAGATCAGGAGAGGCACACTAGACTCACCTGTGGGCTAATAAATACTCAAATTTCAGGGAAATCAGGATGAAAATGAGTGGCCAGCCTTTAGGTGGAGTAGCAGTGGCTCCGTTTCAAAGCTGGGCACCCTGAAGGTCTCGTGTAGCCAGTAATTTGTATCTCGGTTTGAGTATGATAAAGGCACAGTGAGTTGGCGCCTAGGGAGGACCCTGGTGAGTGCGTCTTTGCCTCAGGATTCTTCCCTGGTTCTTCTAGCAGCTATAAGCGCCTGTGCTCCCTCAACCTTGCAGGGGGAGTAAAGAGTCACCTGAAAAGCCCAGCCTGGTTGTCTTAGCCACTGCCGACTGCGCTTCCCCTCCAGAGGGAAAAGCGCTGATCCCTTCCTTTCTGGGATTAAGTTCCTTGTGTTCCCTGCCCATATCCCACCTTTGTCAGCTTTGAACACTTCATGACGTCTTAAGATGCCCTTTTTTTTTCTGCTCCTGAAATCCCAAACATTATTTTCCTCTCATTGATTTAGAATATAATTATATGTTGAGTTGTAATAATGTTACATTGTTTCAGCTTTTATTTCTTGTATTGTTTAACTTGCCATCTACTCTTTTCTCAACTAAGTTGTAAAATCCTTGAGTTGCAAGGACTTATGTCTTCATTTTCAAGTTTTGCTTTAGTGTGATCAATTGTTATATGTAGTTAATGTTTGATGAATACTTAGGAGTTGCTGAGTTACTTTTTAGTCTTTTTAAGGAGCTCATGGTAAGAAAAATGGTTTTAAATTACTGAGGTATTCATATGTAATAAAAGTGTTCTGTTATATTAACTTTCACTGTACTGAGTATGGTCACTAAAAAGGGACTAGCAATTTTTAAAATACCTGTTTTTAGGGGTTGTAGCTTTCACTGATACAAAATTTAAATTGACTGACAGTCCAGAGGATAGTAATGAGAGTCTATTTCTAAAGGGTCATATGATATTTTACACTTTTCTTAAGACATATTTCTCAGAATTTGTGCCTATAAGTTAATCAAGGAAAAGTGTTGCTGCAAAAGGACCCTTTTAGATTGATACCTGAAAGTTAAGTGATTTGGTGCTTTGTATAAATTTATTTTACTGAGAATTTAAATCTATGTGAATGAATAAATTTGATTGTTAAATTTAGGTTCACTTTGTGTTGTGCTTTTTGCCCTTTCACTTTCCGGAACTCAAAATCTAGGCTAGGGTGGTAAATGCATATGAGCTAGTACAGACCCCAGGATCTCGGTTGTATTAATATAACTGGCAGCGTACAGTAGCATATGAATGTTAAAAACCAGCCAGTCAAGCATATTTTGGATTTTCATGTTAGAATGAAAGGTTACTTACCAAACAACACAATTTGAGGTTGTACAAGTGATTGTTAATATAGTCCAGTATTTAATGACAGTCGAGGTACATTTATGTTTCCCCAGTGGGAAATAAATTTTTTACCCACCATAATTAAATATTTTCATTAGTGAACTTCTAATCAATGTCTATCATTGTTTTCAAAGGAAACACAACCTATTTGTGGGAGTTTCTTTTAGATCTACTTCAAGATAAAAATACTTGTCCTCGGTATATTAAGTGGACTCAGAGAGAAAAAGGCATATTCAAGCTTGTGGATTCAAAGGCTGTTTCTAAGCTTTGGGGAAAGCATAAGAACAAACCAGACATGAATTATGAAACCATGGGAAGAGCTTTGAGGTAAGAACACCAGAGAGTGTAGTTTTCAAACAAAACTTATCATTTTATACTGTCTATGAGCAGTTTAAAGAGAATCTGTAAAAATTCCTTATTTATTGTAACTTTTAGTTTTGGGGGTATTCTAGAGGGGTTTCTTGGATTTGGAGGTAGATGAGAGGAATTTTGTCTAGATGTCTAATATCTTGGTCATTGGGCCATCCATTTTTGCAGAAAATGAGCTTTTGCACTTAAGTGGAACGTTAAGTTGTATACCTCTAAGAAAATTAAACCCCAACAAAATATAGTTTGCAGATTGTTAATTTGCTTTTTCAAAAAGTTCCTGCAAATTTATTTTAATGGATTTGTCTGCATGTGAACATTTTCTCATCAGTTTTGTCAGTTTGAGACACCACAGATCTTTGTGATGAACGTGGCTTCTTCTGTAAGTGAATGCATAGTTGATGTGACAGGATTCGCATACCCCACAGGTTGCCTCTATTTAAGCATGGCTTAGATAATTTTTCACTTAGCGCAGCTTGTTTTTTATAGCCTTCAAAAATCACCAGTTTTTACCAATGTGTGTAAAATTAGGTTAAATTGCTTTAAGAGAATGAGCTTACAACACAGTGTGACAGAGCTCAAGGTCATAGGACTCTGGCACCAGGTCCCAGCCTCAATTCTACTCCAAGCCCTCAGCTCGTTGAACAGCTCAGGCTGTATTACAGGAACAAGTGAACGTTTCTGTTAGCATCCACTCTGTATGGTATTTTGGGGTTTGTTTGGGTTTTTTTTTTTTTTTTTTGGGGGGGGGGGGAGTGGCCGGGAAGTGATACATCTGATTCAGTTAGTGCTTTTTCCTTGCAGATATTATTACCAAAGGGGTATTCTTGCAAAAGTCGAAGGACAGAGACTTGTATATCAGTTCAAAGATATGCCCAAAAACATTGTGGTCATCGATGATGACAAAAGTGAAACCTGTAATGAAGATTTAGCAGCAGCTACAGATGAAAAATCATTAGAACGCGTGTCACTGTCTGCAGAAAGTCTCCTGAAGGCAGCAACATCTGTTCGTGGAGGGAAAAACTCATCTCCTCTGAACTGCTGCAGAGCAGAGAAGGGTGTGGCTCGGGTGATGAATATCACTTCCCCTGGCCATGATGCGTCCTCCAGGTCCCCGACCACCACCGCGTCCGTGTCAGCACCAGCAGCGCCAAGGCAAGTGAGGGAGCCGCTGACAGTAGTGTAGGCACTTTCTAGAAAGCTCCTTTGCTGCACCTCCCCATGTGTCCCTTTCACGTAACATTCTAAGTACCCACTATTGTCAGGGACTTTGAAAAAAATGCTTCCTGACTTAATGTTAAAGTAGATGTCTCTTCTAATGTGACATCTAATGTCTCATCTAATTGGTTTTTGTGATTTTATAGGTGGGCCTTAATATGAGTTGTTTTTTAAAATCTGTTTCATATTCTAAAATTTAGGGGTTGTCAGTACATCGGTAAACTTTGGGAGCATTAGTGTCCATTTTGGGCTTCCGTTCACCTCTTTGCTCACCATATTCTAACTGAGCATTAAATATAATCAGCTTCTTTCTTTAACCTAGGACAGTTCGCGTGGCGATGCAAGTACCTGTCGTCATGACGTCACTGGGTCAGAAAATTTCAACGGTGGCAGTTCAGTCCGTTAATGCTGCTGCGCCGTTAATAACCAGCACTAGCCCAACCACAGCAACCTCTCCAAAGGTGGTTATTCAGACAATCCCTACTGTGATGCCTGCCTCCGCTGAAAATGGAGACAAGATCACCATGCAGCCAGCCAAAATCATCACCATCCCTGCCACACAGCTTGCACAGTGTCAGCTGCAGACAAAGTCCAGCCTGGCTGGGTCGGGAAGCATTAACATTGTGGGGACTCCACTGGCAGTGAGAGCGCTCACCCCGGTCTCCATCGCCCACGGGACCCCTGTAATGAGACTCTCCGTGCCCACCCAGCAGGCCTCCGGCCAGACTCCCCCCCGGGTGATTAGCGCCGTTATCAAGGGGCCGGAGGTTAGGCCGGAGGCCGTGGCCAAGAAGCAGGACCCTGACATGAAGACTCTGCAGCTGGTGCAAGAGGAGAAACCGGCCGACGGCAGTAAGACGGTGACTCATGTGGTGGTGGTCAGCGCGCCCTCCACCATCGCCCTGCCGGTGAGCATGAAGACGGAAGGACTGGTGACTTGCGAGAAGTGAGTGCAGCCGCCGCGGACTCCGCCCGTTAGCGTGGTACTGACGTAAATATTCGCAAGGGATGTTAGTAAGGAAAGTCAGAGGAAGACTTTAAAACATTTTTAATGCAGATGAGAAAACAATCAGACTTACTGGAAATAAATTACCTATCCCATGTTTCAGTGGGAAATGAACTCCATGTTGAGATGCTGACAGAAAACTGCCTCTTCCAGCAGGAAACAAGCGAACCCATCAGTATGGATCAGGAGGGACCAACAAGCAGCTCACTACAAAGTCACGTTACACTAAGACTTGGAACACTAACATTCTGTGAGAGGTTACACAGTTTCCGGAGGGGAGGGGTTGGGGTGGGTGATCTCATTGTTACATATAGCAATTTTTGATGCATTTTATATGCATACCAGCAATTATTACTGTGTTCACACAGAACTCACTTAACTGGTGCTATGTGAAGACTCTGCTAATATAGGTATTTTAGAATGTGAATTGAAGAACGGATCCAAAAGCTTCAGAAAGAGGATAGCAAAAAAAGATCTAGTGCGATTTTTTTTTTTATATATATATATATATATATATATATATATCATATAGCTTAAGCTGATTTAAAACAAAGGCCTTAGACTAAAATTTTTGGTTTTCTTTCTTGAAATAAGCTAATGGCTTGTTTGTGTAAAGCTTTTTTATTAAAAGAAAAATTTTAAAAATCTTGTACCTAGCACAGTATTGTTATAGAATTTACATGTAACATTTTATATGGTAGTTTAAGTCTGTCAGTTTCTTAATTGTGGACGAATGAACAGTCGGCCCCGGCCTCTTGCCTCCAAGCCTGTCGCTCACGCAGCCCCGGGCACCTGCGCAGACGTGGCAGCAGTTTTGCTGTCACTTGGAAGTTCAGGCTCAGCATGAATTCGTGCCAGGTAGCTCTAATACCTGGAGTTTTCTTTCTTTCTTCCTTTCTTTTTGTTTTCTTTTCGGTTGCCGTTTGAGGGACAGTACCAGTGTTCAGACCTGAACTACAGTAGTTTGTATATTCAACATTTGAAGTATATTCTATTTTGTTGTACTCTTGTTTCAAAGTGTATTCAAGTAGGTTTTCTGAAATATAGAAATGAAATTTATCTTGTGTTTTGGTCTCTGGTGATAATTTATAACAATATTCAAAAGCTAGGATAGAGATTGTTTCACTTACAAAGTAAGAAAAAAAAAGTCCTATTTCTCCTTCCCAACTACGTGCGAAGAAATTCTGCTTTTTTGTTCTGCATTAATATTCGGCAGGTACCTGCATGTTGCTGCTTCCTTTCTGATTACTCTCACGAAATCGAGAACATTCTACTTAACAGTGAGCTCACTGTTTTAATGTTGGCCATACCTATTGGACGTCAGACTATGTTTCTCAGTCAGACCTGTGCACAGGGTCGGGAAGAACAAGAACTACCCTAGCCCTTCTACAGATAAGGAAAGGGAGCACCAAGGGGTTCTAGCAACTTCTGATTTCATACCAAACTAAGTCCTATGACTCCCCATCTTGACTCTTTCTATTCCAAAGAAAAGCTGTCTATTTTTACATCTTTTAGAAATTTAAATAAACGGATACTTAATATTTTGTGGCCTTTAATTGTCTATTTGATCAGATACTGCTTAGGTCGACATAATTTTTCTAACCTTACTGTCCTTTTTTTAGCTTTCCTAACCTGATGGTACTTACAGTATATGCTCATAGAAATACTCACTTGATTCTTATACCATTTGGGAGTTAATCTCAAATTCTCCCTCCTTCTTAAACTCTCCAAGTATTTTAACTTGTAAAATGGTGTCCTGTGCGCCTTGGTATGTACTCATACTGTCTTCTTTGTACTGTCCTTTCACTCGTCAGCCTCATCCGCCTCGTCTTCTGTATACTGCACCTCCTGCCCCCGCCCTGCCCCAACCGTGGAGTGCATGCGATTGCAGACCTGACTGAGTTAGGTGCCTCTGCTGAGCTGTGCTACAGAAGATAGCTAAAAGAAATGAATTTAAATAAATCATTCTTCCCCTCAAGTCACATTAACTGGTTCTAATTAGGTCAGGCCAAGGTGCTCTAGCATGCCTCCACCACTCTGCCTGAACATTTTTTGTTTCTCTTTTAGAGTAAGTACACCGAAGGTCCAGATTTAGAAACACATGTTGAACAATGTCTGTGATCAGTGTTCTCTGCTGACTGAAATTACCAGTGGTGTGGCGTTTAGGCTCAGCCCTTCCAGACTCTCTAACTCCTGTGTGCATTTGTGTCCAGCATATGAGAATGACACTGTGATGGCTTGATGTCACTGCGCTTCTCAGCCTCACCGGGCTTTTGGAATTTGTTCCATAGTTCACCTCCCAGTAACAGTTCCAGCCTGCACCATTCTTACCCGATGGTCCACGGCTCGGGCACCTTGATGTAAGAGCGTCTATGCACCCAGCAACCCTTGCTTCTTACCCGTCCTCAAGCGTTCCTCTCCTTTCATACCTCCTTAGTCTCCCTCCAACACGTAATAGCCCCTTTGTCTCCTCAGTGTCCTTTTCTTCGCTTGCAGTCTGAATTCTGGCTTAGATATGGCTATCACTGAGGTCTCCAATGGCGCAGTCGTCAAGCAGACCTGTCATTGCTTCATGTGATCTTGTGCATCAGTCTGCTGCATCAAGATGCTTTGGTTTTCCCCAACGCCTCTTTGGGCTCACTTTCAGCCTGACCAATCCTTTCACAGTCTACTCTGCTTTTCCATTTAACCTTAGTACTCTTTGAGTCTCCAAGGACTCTTCTTCCTCATAGAGAAGTGGTAGGAATTAGACGAGTGAGTATGTTAACGACTTAGAACCAGCCCTTTCAGCAAGCACCCTATTAAATGCTATTATTTCACCTCAACATAATTGTTAGATAATCTCTCCTGTCTGTGGTTTTCACACCCAATCTATTGTGCTAGCCTGGACTTCTTAAGTCTTGGATCACTTGATCTAATTGTCTACTGGCTCTTTTCTCCTGAATGGCCAATTGAACTTTTCTATCTGAACTGTTCTTCTAGCTCAGTGGATGGCATCACCAGCAGCCCATTACTCTTTCCAGAAGAAAAGGCCATTCTGGACACCTGACCGCCCACATGCCGTCATTCAGCAAGTCTATGGGTGGTGGCTTCCCACCTTCCTCTCCACTGTTCGTGCCAAGCTTCTCTAGTCCATTTTCCCGGTTACCAACTAAGCGCTTTCTAAAATGCAGATTTTACCACTTCATTGAGATTGTTAAAAAAACATTTCACTTCCTTTGATCTGCCCTCTGCCCATCTCCCCAAACATACTGTAGCCACTTCTCTCTCGGGCATCTCTAGGCCACAAACACAGCAGGGTTGTCGATCAGGAAAAATCTCAGTGACTTTGAAGTGACATTCAATGACCTGGTTTGTTACAGATCATCTTGCTTGAACTCAGTTTCCAAGAACCTATTCATGATGTTAAGTGAGGACTTTATTGCCATGTTTAATTTTCTCGAATACTCTAGGCATTTATACCTGCTCAAACCACTGGTTGATGGCTTCTTTCTGGACAACCCTTCACCTAAATATGAGTTCCCTTTAATCACTGAGTTAGAGGTGAACAAGGTATCAAAATAGAAATTTTTGAGAGACTTGGAGGCCATCGGATTGTGAACTGCGTATGAAGCCTAGACTGTATGAATTACAGGAAGATAAGGACCAAGGGAAAGAGAGACACCAGCCATGGAAATCAAGGACTGTTGGAGGATCAACCTTTCAAGGCCTGGTAGGTAGCAATATCAAGCACAGCAGGAAGGGCAAAAGGGAGTGCCTCAGGAGCCGAAAGGGCAGTTCTGTGGGGGGAGGGGGGTGAAGCCAGAACAATGCAAGGATGGCCGCCTAGCATGTCGCAGTGGTGCCTGTGATGCCCTGCATCTAAGCAAAGCCTGTTTATAATCTCATGAATCTCCCAAAGACAACATTTTGGGGTTATTTACCGTATCCTTTGATGCTTCTCCTGGCCCACTTCATGGGGGCACTACAGAGCATTCTTGAGAGGCAAGAATAGCTCTTTCAGAAACTTCGCAGCAACTTTTCCTTTTGTTGTAGCTTTCATCCATTCCCCGTATGTGTCCTGGGTGTGGTGAGCCCTTGGTACCTCAGCTCTGTTAGCTGCCTCCAGGAAAGCCTGCCGAATCCTGGAGGACCTTGGTGCAGCTTCTGGTCTTGAAGGGACAGCAGGCGCTGTTCACCCTTGGCAAAGGCCCTGGTGGGCTTCTCTGTCACTGCCAAGCCTCTGCGAACTCAGGTGCAGCAGGGAGGCCGACTTGATTTATTCATGTCTGCTTCACTTTTTAGGCACCATTTTGGACACAGCAGCTCTGTAGCGATCTGTGGGCTCAGGACTTAAAACGCTATGTCACAACTGCCAGAGCGCACTTAAAACATGATTGTTTGATGCAAAGTACTCATCAACAAAACAAACTCCCAAGACTGTCTTCTTCCCTGTTTAGCTTTGTCATGAAAGGTAAAATACTATTTTAAAGATTTATTTATGCAAAAAAGAGCTGGGGTATAGGCCAGAGGTGCAGGGGGTGAGAGGACTCACCAGAGACAGTGGGGAACAGAACAGGGGAGCAGCGGCCGAGACAGGAGCGGTCTGCTGCACCATGTGGGTCCGCTCCCTGCCCAGGGATTGAACTCATGCTGCAGTGGCTGTGGATAGCTTCATAGTCCTGAGACTTAACCCCTTGTGCCACCAGGGAGTCCCCGAAATACTATTTTACATAAGCCACAGATCACCTCTGGGTGTAGATCATGAATTGACCATGAGACATTGCTAACTTTGCCGTGCATTAGAATCACGTGTGTCGGGGGGTGTGGGCTCCCTGGTGGCCGAGGGGTTAATTCTCAGTGCAATCACTGTTACGGCCTGAGTTGGATCCCCTTGGATCTCCGGCCAGGGAGATGACCCACATGGCGCAGCAGACCTTGCCTGTCTCACCCGCTGCTCCCCTCAGTTGTGTATTTCAGTAGATCTGCCTGTTCTGCTCCCTGCTCTGTCTCTGGTGAGTCCTCTCACCCCTCCTCCCCGCCACCTCTGGCCTCCCCAGTTCTATGCAAAAAAAAAAAAAAAAAAAAAAAATCACGTGGGAAGACTTAGCAATCCTGTTGCCCAGGTCACCCTCCAAACCTGTTAAATTCCTGTGTGTGTGTGCGCGCGCGCGCGCGAGGGAGCTGGCCACCAGTTTTTTAAAGCTTCTCTCTAAGTGCAGCCAAGTAAGGAAAGCACGGTCAGGACTGTCGTAAACCCACCTTTTCCAAAATGTTCCAGGAAAAGGTCATTTGAGATGTATCTGTTAAGTCCTCCAATGGCTTTTTAAAACCCACATACTGTATTTAATTGATTCTAAAGCCTTTTTTCTCACACTTATCACCTCTTCAGTACTCATGAGTCTTCAGTGTTAGGAAGCAGCACGTCATGTCATATATGCGTGTCCCTTCAAAGAGAGGACTTTGGGAAGCTGCCAACGACGCTACCATTGTTCAAAAATACTTCTGAATTACTTCCTAGGACAGAACCTAAACTTGTAAACATACTTAATAGAGGCAAATTTCCTGCTGAGGAAGACTTCGGTTTTAGGAGTAGCCAAGTCACTTGAGGTTAATTACATGGGTGTGAACCAAGCCTGGCAATGCCATGCTGGGCCCAAGGTGGGATGAGGCTATGAAGGCCCCGTTTTCCTGAGGCCTTCCTAGGCCTAGGCAGGGAAGCAGCTCCAAGGAGACTTGAGTGGTGCTGGCAGGAACCACCCAATTGCTTGGAAGTGCAAATCAGTTTTTTGACATTCTAAGGAAACTGGACGCCTCCACCTCGGTTGAGCTGCCAGTGGCAGCTGGCAGATCTAGAAGCACAACTCACATTCTAACTCCCAGCTTAGTTTTAGCCGCAAAGCCCCCCCCCCGCCCCCATAAAAAAGGGGACGAAGTTCATTTCTGAACAAGTGATCACGTAGTGGTCCTTACTTTCTCACAACTACATTTTCAATGTTGCAGTGTCTGGAAACCCAAACCAAAAGTCCCCTCTAGTCCTGTGTCCATCCTTCTTGAGTGGCGTGTCCCCGCCTTCCCTGTGCGTCATCCTGGTATGCAGCTGTCTACACCTGGAAGCCTGCATCTGGGTCATGTGGCAGGATGATTTACGCTCTGCTTTGTTACCAAAAGAATTCCAGATGATTTACAGGAAGAATAAATGCAAGGCAATAAAAACATACAGGTAAAAGAAAATCAGGCAGATGGCAAAAGAAAATACACAATACATGTTATAAAATGTTACACAATAATTAAAATTCAGCTATAGGGTTTGGTTTTAAATGTCTTGGCAGCCAAAACAAAAAAGATAAATTCTTCGGTAAGGAGATTCATATAGTCCAAGTTCCCCAGCTGCTTAGAGGCAGCAAAGCTTCCAGCCTTCTGTGAGGAGTGGCTGTGTCTGCATGTCTCACCTTATACGAGTGTCTTCTGAGAATTCAGTTTTCCACAGAAACCTGGGGGCCGAGGGCCTGGAATTGCAGACGCTCACTGCACTATACACAGTAGGGCTGACGCCTTCGCATGGACGCGAATCTCTAACCCACAACCCCATATCTGCCTGAAGGAGCAATTAGGAAAAAAAAATCTTGCTGTTCTCTCAATTTTTCGCCTCTTTTGGGCTTAATATTCTGCCACCACTATTCTGCCCTTTGCAGCTGAAGGCTTTTCTCGTCCATGAGCACCTACAAGCAAGTACAATGGCCTCCTCTCGCGCTTTGCTCACTCTAGTATTACTCCCGGTAACTTACAACACTGGTTTACAAACATCGATCTGTGGGGCTGACGAGGGCGGGTGTGCTCTGCTCTGTGCATGAGAAAACTGAGGCCCGAGATGGAGCGGCCTTTTTTGCACCCTGGTCACTGGAGCCTTCTCCCTCGGAGCCTGTGCCCTTGCACCTGAGTGGCCTTTCTTTCCTCCCGTTTCACGGCCTAAGTTCCCGGCCTCTGCCGTCCTGCATTCGCCCCCTCTAGACAAGAGGCCTGTTCGTGCCGTACATTTATATGCGGCAAGAAAAGTTTCACCAGGGCGCCTGTGGTTCAAAGACAGAACATTTACATCAGTTTCTTCCTTTACCTTGAAACACCGCGAGTCACTGTTCTTGCTGTTTCCTTTGAGAAAGTGATGACGAAGCCTGCAGCCAACGAAGACGCGCTGCTTTTGGCAGAACTGCTTGCACTACCTGCCTCTGATCCTGCTTCTGTCACTATGGCACGGTCACGACAAGACGAAACTGACTTACGTGCTTGAACTTTTCATGCACAACCAAACCCCTCCAGGGCCCCCATATCACTTCTCTCCCCCCCGCTGCTACTCACCCAAGCCATGGGGGCGTGATGGCGGGGAAGAGCCAATGCTTTGTGTCAAGACACACCTGGGTTTGAATCCTGGCTCCGCTGCTACCATGCTGTCACTTTAGGCAAACCATTTGACCTTTTGATGCCCACGTTGAATAGCTGTCGGATCACGTGTAAAGCCCCACATGTAAGGTGCTCAAACAGTGCTTTCTCCTCATGGAAACACCACTGCACTTTGTTTAAATAAAAGTCAGCTGCTGCCACCACTTGGCATGGAAGCTACTGAAATGTGGCAGGGGGAACGGAAAGACTCCTGGCAGCTCCCTCCCGCTGCAAATCTGCAATTGCCATCTCGCTTTAAGAATCTTATAGCTACAATCAAAAGGTTATGGGGCATAAAAGGAAAAGTTGAACCAAAAGGTATCTAGGGATGGAATAAGAGAAACAAATGGGACACACTTAAAAATTTAGAATACAGATTTGCCATCATGACGCCTCTAGGTTACGCTGAAGTCCACAGAGCAAGGAAGACTTCAGGGGAAGCACAAATGAATCATGAAGTGCAGCCCGACAAGATTTGCTTATTACTGAGAATGCTCAGTTACATTCTGAATGGAAACTAAAACAAACGGCTCAAGGCCGGTGAGCAGATGCAACAAGTGTTTAGCCACTGCTGACGACTAACTCTGAAGAACTCAACAGAAAAGTTTCTACTGCAGCTGCATCTCCAACTCCTTGATTTACCGGCACATTTCAGTCACTGGGGGCCTGCCAGGGCCCAGTGTCCTCCCACCCACCTGCAGCCGGGTACCCTGTTTGCACAGACACGCGGACACCTGAAACCCAGACAGTGTTTGCATCCTTCGTGCTCACCCGGACTTGCTTGCCTGAGGCTGCGCCATTGCTCCTCCCGGGCCGTGCGGGCATCCGGGAGGCCAATGAGTTGCGCCTGTCTCCACTGCATGGGAGCCCACTGGCACCTAAGAGGACAGCTGTTCTGCCTGTTTGCCAGTCCTGCCAGGTCGCCCCCAGGTTTGTGTGAAAACGTCATGTTTTTTAAAAAGTGGTTCCAAGGCAAAATACTTGGAAGAGCCATTCGGGGGGCCCCCAGCCCTGGCGCTGAGGGAGCACACAGGTGGCATGGATGCCTTCGGCGCACCCACAAACGGCATTAGAAGACCTACTCCACCATCCTTTTTTGACCAAAAAAGACATTAAAAGCACTAGCTTTAAAAGACCATTTATTCATCTCAAATATTTACAACTCGTGAATTAAAATATTTATCAATTTATCACCAACAGGAGGTGTGGGAGGGACTTCGTGTGGAAGGGCTTCACCTTGTTATCTTTACCACTTTTATTTCCGATGGAAGAGAATTTCAGGTTACCTTTCTAGCTTTTCACATTCTTCTTTCCACACATGTTGAACCAGTCACCTGGGTAGCCAAGGAACCCTCAGCCCATTAGCAGGTGCTCTGGTTTTCCGTCTCTGGCAAGAAGGGCCACTGACTTTCTAGCCACCGCCACCTCACACTGTGAAAAGCGCACCCCAGGGCACATGACCATGACGCTGAGCACCACCCTGCTGCTGACTGGCACTCTGGTGGAAAGGGATGTGTGGCAGTGACTTATGAGGACTGATTGGCCATGGAGTCTCTTCAAGAAAGGGGCAACACGGAGGTACAGCAAGAGTTGTTCAAGAAGCCTGCGCCAAGGAGACCTGATATTTCCACTTAAATTACAAAAGCCTTTCCAGGCCCAACAGATCCTTTGTATGCTACTATTTTATGAGATCCAAATAGAAACATTTTGAAGCTCTAAGAAGATTACTATAAATTACTCTATAACTTGTTTTGCATGGTTTGAAAATGTTTATAATGCTATAATTTACTTAAATTTACATGAAGTTATTAAAAAAATAAATATTGCCATGCAGATCTTGCTGACATTCAAAAACCCCACAAATAAGTAACTGGAAATGCTGCGTGGAGAAACTGCTCTTGCATACTTATTACTGATGGAGGCCGCAGGCAAGTCTATTTTTACATAGAACCCTCACTCTGAAAAAGCTTCAAGACGAGGCTAATTCAATGCCCTGAATGGATCAAAGTGTAATACCGAGGGAAAGAAAACAAGACAAGCCTATGCCGAGTGCCAACACCTTTCCCGTGACTGCTTTGATTGGAAAGACGGTGTGATCAGGCGGGCTCCCGGCCAGGGCCTGGGTCGGGGGCAGGGCGAGGCTGAAGGGGAGCCCCTCCTCAGGGCCTGGGGGGGGGCGAGGCTGAAGGGGAGCCCCTCCTCAGGGCCTGGGGGGGGGCGAGGCTGAGGGGGAGCCCCTCCTCAGGGCCTGGGGGGGCGAGGCTGAGGGGGAGCCCCTCCTCAGGGCCTGGGGGGGGGCGAGGCTGAGGGGGAGCCCCTCCTCAGGGCCTGGGGGGGCGAGGCTGAGGGGGAGCCCCTCCTCAGGGCCTGGGGGGGGTGAGGCTGAGGGGGAGCCCCTCCTCAGGGCCTGGGGGGGGGCGAGGCTGAGGGGGAGCCCCTCCTCAGGGCCTGGGGGGGCGAGGCTGAGGGGGAGCCCCTCAGGGCCTGGGGGGCGAGGCTGAGGGGGAGCCCTCTCCTCAGGGCCTGGGGGGGCGAGGCTGAGGGGGAGCCCCTCCTCAGGGCCTGGGGGGGCGAGGCTGAGGGGGAGCCCCTCAGGGCCTGGGGGGCGAGTCTGAGGGGGAGCCCCCTCCTCAGGGCCTGGGGGGGGCGAGGCTGAGGGGGAGCCCCCTCTTTAGGGCCTGGGGGGGGGCGAGGCTGAGGGGGAGCCCCCTCCTCAGGGCCTGGGGGGCGAGGCTGAGGGGGAGCCCCTCAGGGCCTGGGGGGCGAGGTTGAGGGGGAGCCCCTCCTCAGGGCCTGGGGGGCTAGTTTGAGGGGGAGCCCCCTCCTCAGGCCATGCGTCCGACGACGCCCGAAACGTCCCAGGCCGGCAGCCCGCGCGGGGCCGCGGCGGGCGCTCAGGGGGGCGCGGCGGGCTCCTCGTGGAAGCTGAAGTCGCACACCAGGGACAGGTGGTCCGAGGGGTAGTGGAAGGACGGCAGGCGGCCCGGCCCGATCTGCTCCTCGGTGAGCAGCGCCAGCGCGGCCCGGACGCAGAGCGCGCGGCGCGAGTACCAGATGTAGTCGAGCGTGTGGCGGCTCTCGCCCGACGGCCGGATCTTCCAGGTGGTGTAGGGCGGCTCCGACTGCCCGTCGGCGCTCAGCAGCTTGTAGGCGCTGCTCAGGCCGAGGCTGGAGGCCGCGAAGCGCTGGTAGACCTCCTCGCTGGGCTCGGCGTTGAAGTCCCCGCACACGATGAGCGGCGTCTGCGCGCCCCGCGTCAGCGCCTGCAGGTTCTCCAGCAGGTCGCCGCCCTGGGCCGAGCGGAAGCGCTCCCAGCCGGTCCGCGCCTTCAGGTGGGTCACGGCCACGCAGAAGCGCCGGCCCGACGCCCGGCACTCGAGCGTCTGCGCGATGGCCACCTGGTTGGTCTTGAGCGTCATGGCCGTCAGCCGGATGTTGGCGCTGTCCAGCAGCCGGAACCGGTTCTGGAGGAAGAACAAGGCGCAGCCGTCGGGGCCGTTGTTGTGCTCCACGTCCAGGCAGGGGGACCAGGGCTTGGGGAAGAAGGTGCCGTGGAAGCCCAGTCGGCTGAGGAGCGGCTGGAAGGTGTCGAAATAGTGGTCCACCTCCTGGAGGCACAGGATGTCGGGCCGGTAGGCCAGGATCTCCTCGAGGATGAGACACTTCCTCTCTTCCCACTTGAGCGCCTCCACGGGGCACTGCACAAAGTTGTCTTTGCCTTCCCCGAGAGCTGCAATAAGAAAGCCTGTCAGTCCTCGGCCACCACGCAACCACACTGAGGCCTGGCACCGCCTGGGGCCTGGCACTCCAGCCCTCGGGAGCGGCCTGGCAGCCGGTGGTGACCATCTGCACCGCTTCAGCCTCTACGGCAAACCACCTCCATCCAGGTGAAGCAAGCCACAGGTTTTCCTTCACATTCAGACCCCTCCCCTAGCAAGGCCGCCACATCTTAAGTGTCGCTCTCAGCGGCGGTGTCTGCAGTCCCGGGGCGCCTCTACACTATGTCGGAGGAGGCATGTCAACGCCACATGCTAATCCCACCGGCCCCGCAGGGGCTGGAGAGCCCGGGCCACCTCTCGGGGTGAATCGCTGGGACCGACTTGAAATCGGCCGCTTTCCTGACTCTGAACACCTGGGGAAACAGAAGCCTGGCGAGCCGGGGGGATGCCCTTCTTTCCCAGGGGGAGAGGCTCGTGCGCTTTTCCTAAGGATTTCCTCTGCTGTCCGGGGAGCTGACTCATCAGGCTGCTTCTCACTGGGGAGAGGCAGGAAAGAGGCCTGTGAAGGAGCAGAGAACCCCACCCCCTGCAGAAAGGCCTGCACCCCCCGCAGACTCAGTCCCTGCGGTCCGAGGCTCTGGGCTGCAGCGGAAGGCGCCAGGCTGCTAAGAGGGGGCCTGAGTTTGGACGTGTTGGGAGGAGACGCCGGCTGGCAGCCCACGAACAAGGGGAAGGAGACATCTCAGGCTGCGGGACTTACTGGTAAAGTCAGGTGACCCCTCACGCCTGGGCAGGAGCTGCTCTCGGCGCCCCAGCCCCCCTCCTCCTGCGGCCGCACTTTCTGCCCTCCTAGGTGCCAGGCCTGGGCGTGCGGGCGCAGAGGGCAGGCGTACCTTGGGCGAGGATGTTCCACTGCATGACCCTGATGGGCGGGTGGCTACTGGGGCAGTCTGTCCTCAGATCCACAAAATCCCGCTGGAACCGGGGAGGCCGGCTCTGCAGGACCGCCCTGCACTCCTCCAGCAGCTCTTTAGGGTCCAGGGGCTCCAGGTGCTCCGGGTCCGGGGCCACCAGGTACTCGGGGTGCTGGGCGGCCGCGCTGCTGTGCAGGGTCTTGGCGAGCGCGCCATAGAGCCGGCTGGTCCCACTTCCCATGGGACAGGCTGCGGGGGGGAAAGCACAGTTACTCGGGCCTGGGCCGTCCTCTGCCGCCCTCCCTGGAGGCGGGTCCACGGCTCTGAAGCCCCTTCTGCAGACGCGGCGGAGGCCCCGGGCTGGGCCCCACTCGCAGAAGCGCTGTTGGGGGGCCGGTCACGGTTAAGGAGAGTCGCCTGGGCTTGGCGGCCCCTCCTGAGGTAGGACTTGTCCTTGGGACTTTTTGTCTTGACGGCCTCTCTCTAAGCCCCGAGGCTGGGGCCGCGGCCGGGCTTGCCAGCAAGGCCAAGCAAGGCCCTCCCGGCCGCTGCATTCTCCCAACCGGCACAGCCGCCAGGAGCTGGAGCCAGGGAGCCCCGGCTGGCCCGGAGGGGAAGGAGCTGACCAGAGTGCCCCCCACGCCGCCCACAGGCCCCGGGGCGGGAACGGCCTTCCTCTTCCCCGGGGCTCAGGGCCTGGCCTCCCGGGCCTCTGTGAGCGTCACTGCGCGAGGGAGTCTGGACAGCAGCCGCTCGAGCTTTAAAAATACAGAGGAGTTGGGGGAGAGGGCGAGAGGCTGCAGGGGGAGGCGTGGCGGGCAGGACGCCGGCCTGTCTCGGGGGCTTGTCCTGTGCTTGCTTGTAGCCCGAAGTGTACGAGCAGAGCAGCAGAGCGCTCGCCCCGCCACCACCGTCAGAGGAAAAGTAGGGGCCAGTCTGACTCCGAGCAAGTGCTGGGACTCCGGGCGCCCTGAGTCCTGCCAGGGAGGAACCTGGAGTCCCCGGGTCCCCGCCACACTCACGTCGCCTCTTGAAAGACGCACGTTTTCTTTGTGAGGCACATTATCTGGGGGGCGCCTCCGAGGCCAGCCGCCAGTCACACCCACTGGCGCGGGTGCCAGTCACCACCAAACGCCCTGGGACTCCCGGGGCCACACAGCAGGCGAGCGCGTCTGTGGCTCCTTCATCACTCACGGCAGGTCTTTGTTCCCCAGTAAAAAGAAAACCAGACGGAGGCAAGGAGCTCCAGGGGCCCCAGCATGCACGCGTGTGCCCGCGGGCCGCGTGTATCTCGCACACGCACCACGGCGCCCCACGCCGACGGCCCACGCCCCTGCGGCCGGCTGCCCGCTCAGGGACGCCCCCTCGCCCTCTCGGGGACGGGGCCACTTTGGCCCTAAAAGCCTTCAAAAACCCGGCCGCAGGGTAAATGCGGACGCTCAGGCTTTGGGGCCCTGGGCCTCGCGGCTCTCGCCCGCGGCCGAATGCAGGAGGCGCGTGGGAGCCGGGCTGGGGCGCGCGGGCCTGGCGGCGGCGGCAGACCCCTGAGTGCGGCGTGGGCGCGCCCGGGCCGGGAGCGTGTAAGGGCAGTCCGGAGAGCGGCGGGCAAGGGCTGGAGAGAAGAGACCCAGGGAGAACGCCAGGGAGCCCAGAGCGGGTCAAGATGCGCGGGGGGCTGGGAGGCCCTCGCCTGCTCCCCGCCCTACACTGCCCTCAAAAGCGAAAGCTCTGCAGCAAAAAAGATGAAGGGCATCACGCGGCAGAGCTCAGTGCCAGGGCCTGGAGCGGGATGGGCATCGGCGGACCGACTGCGACCCGGCTCCACGGCCACTTGGCCCCCGCCGGCTCTCTGGACCCGCCGCACCTCACATGGGGCCTTGCTAAGCGACCGTAACTTCTTTAAGGTTATTTGGAAAATGCATCCAGGTTTGCCAGGAGGCAACTTCCAACTCGCATCTGCTACTCACACAAGAGACGCTTCCGTCACTCACGCTGCTCCGCCAACAGCAGGGCCCCTCCAGGCGGCGGGGCGCGGCCAGGCAGCCCCACCAGTTTGGGGACACACTCCTGACGCTGATGGAGTCGCCTCGGGCGCGTCTCTGAATTTGTCCCTCTCTCTGGATCTATCGTCAAGTGACGCATGACCCTTTCTCTGAACACGTCATTCAGAAGGACCGTTCCCCTCACACTGGAGACCCAGAAGGGCAAATCCCACCAGGTATGGTAACATCACTCGGGTCTAGAACACACTGGAAATTGCCATCACAGAACGTTTTCCTGGCACTGACCTGCTCTTGGTACCAGAGAAAGATGGCTGAGGCCAAGTGTGGGAGAAGGGCTAGGTGGAGGGGAACCGCTGGCACTGACCACGCTCTGCTCCTCAGATCACACGTGGCCAGGGGCACACCCAAGGACCCCCGGAGACGGATGAAATCAGCCGGAGCATGAAATGAGGACCTGGACAGACGGTCTGGAAGATGTGTCCAGCGGGCCGCCCTCCTCCAGAAGACCAGGCCTGCTCTGAGCCGCCCAGGTGGGGTGGGCACCGCAAGGGCTGCTGTCATCTCAGGGCTGGGGATAGCTGTGGCATGCTGACAGGACAGTGTCTTTCCCTAGTCTGAGCCTGGGCAAGGGAACTTCGTACCAGTAAAGCTCCTGCCCCAGGGCTGGCCCCTTCTCCCCACCCCGCTCCGTGGAGCAGTTCAATGAGGGCAGCAGATTTATTAAATTATCTCCCCACAAAGGAAATCCCAAACCTGATGGTGAGTTCTGTTGAATATTAAATAATGACACCGATCTCACAAATTTCCACTCATTGCTGACATGGCGGCGCTCCGGCAGACGGCCCGCTGGCGTTTTTTTTTTTTTAACAAATGAAACACAGACTTAGCATAAGGCCGACGCTCACGCCCCCAGGTACTTCCCTAGGCAGCTGCAGACGTACGTTCACCTGAGGATATGCACGTGTTTGCAGCCTCTCCGCCAAACCCTGCGCCCGAGCGCCCTTCCTGGGGAAGGACCACCTGTGGCGCCACCGCGAGACGCCGTGGGTGAAAAAGGCACGCGCTGTGGCTCTGCAGGATTCGGTCACATGCCGCGGAGAGTCTCAACTATATTTGGTGAGTGAAACTAACCCTAACAATGGCATTGTGCGACTGTTCAGGTGACACCTGGAAGAGGCGAAACTCTAGAGACAGGTGGTGGCTGTGGGCCGGGAGGAGCCCTGACCCGGGGGTTTTCGGGTGCGGGACCCGCTCTGTCTGGAGCGAGGGTGGTGGGCGCAGACTATGCGCCGCCCAAGGCCCAGACGTGCCGGCACAGAGGACAGACCCCCACGCCTGCAGGTTACAGCAGCACCCGGGGTGGGGAGAGCAAGGGCAGCCCAGACTGGCACGGGGCCGCCTGCGCCTGCACTGCAGGGGCTCAGGAGAGGAGGGGGACCCGAGTAACTGCAAAACCGCTCTCTGCTGCGGCCAGTCTGGCCGGGGCCGAAGGAACTGCACCCTGGGCCAAGGCAGGGAAGGTTCTGAACTGCTCCGCCTGTCAATGAATATGGGGGGGGGGAGTGGATGGTGAGCAGGGGGCGCTGGAACGCTGGAAGGTGAGAGTTGTTGGCAGGATGAATGGAAAGACGCTCCTCTAAAGCCATCTTGTCAACCAGCGTGACATCTAAGGGCTTCTTTGTTTGGAGTTTGCTGTTCCTGGCAGGTCGCGGGGCCTTGTCTAATCACTGCCCAGCAGATGTGGCTTTTCTGTACAGTGAATATTTTCAGTTAAAAATGTCATCTTTTAGAGCTGCTATAAGGATATATAGCATGTGAATATTTATGTACGTTCATGTATCATCTATACGATGTGTATTTAAGCCAGTAAACAGAAAAACTGAGGCAACAAATCCATTCTACGCCCCCAAGTCAGCGCACACGTGCAGACATAAAGAGCTAAAGAGCAAAACACCGACTTTCCCGTGTATTTCACTCCACTTTTAAAAAATGCTGGTCTTGACCCACCTACAGTCAGGCTACAACCCACTAAGGAAAGATGCCTGGCAGCAGCTTCTAAGTGGGGGTCGGCAGACGCCTGGGGGTGGGGGGCTCAGTCCCTCTCAGAGGGGCTCTCGGCCAGAACTGTGCCCATGACCTGGGGATGTCGCTGGCTTCTCCCCTGAGGGGCTACTGGTCTCGCCCACCGCGCCACTGGATGCCACAAGCCGTTGCTGGGTCTCCGCCACCAACTCTGCTTTAAACAATCACAGTTTTACTCAAAAGTGTCCTTAACGAGGCGGTGATTAAGTATTCTTGCTAAATCTAGAACCTTGAAGACATGTCTTTCTAATAAGTACCCATGCAGCACTTTGCCACAGACCACAACACGATGTCTTAGAGAAAAGCTCTCAGCTGAGCGCCAGCTGCAAAAGGCCTGGGCCTCTTCCTTCACCCAGCACCATCTCCACCTGAAAGAGCAGCGGGCAGGCTGCAGCTATCGCTGAGATACATGATGTGAGTCTGTCACGTGAAGGAACGTGACCAACAGTATCTGTGTCACTGATGAACACTTTGAAAATTTGGGAAAACTTCTATTTGCCGCCAGGAGCTTAACAGGTTCCCAGTACAAGATTTTTCTGACAAGCCTGGAGTTGATACTGCTGGTAGAGGTGGATATTGCATAACATTTGGAAGATCTGCTTAGCCCAGTTAACCAACACTTTCCAAGTGACCAATGCAAAATCACACTGGGTAGAGGAGCCCCACAGAGTATACCAGACAGATCAGTGGGTTTCAACTCAAACACAGAAAGTTCACTGACAGGTTCCCAGACTCGCCCTGAGCGTGGGAGCTAACGTGGCAGCTACCACGAAGAACACTGGAATGTTTGCTCTAAGCACTACCAATTACTGCCCGTTTCCAGAGCAACAGCAGACCCCAGTGCACGTTCTGGAGAGGGCTGACCGTCAGAGGAAACGACCAGGGTTTAATGAAACCCAAGTAAGCAAAGAGCAGGCTGAGGCCCTAACAGCCAAGCCCCAGGCAGAGCGGGCCTCCCTCCCCAGCAGTCCCCGCCGCGCAGACACCCAGCAGCACCTCCTACCGCTTCTCCACTCACCGCCTCCGGTTACCACGACTGCTGATCCTGGAGTTTGCCAGAACCATCCAGCCTGTGAATAATTCCTCTCACAATGAGCTCGAGCTCCGTGTCTTGAAACGTGGCTTGGCAGCCGTTTAGAAACTGAAAACCAAACACAAGCCAAGC